ATGTGGTAGAGTAAAACTAAGACAAGTCAAGACGTTGTACGGGTATATATGTAGGTGAGTAAACACGACCATGGCTGGTATGGTATCCGTCCCAAAGCATGATCGCACTTAAAAATCTTCGAAAAATCAAATACGACATGTAGACGTAAGAATTCCACAAAAACGCCTCAAAGAAAGGAATCACCCATTCTTTTCGCTAACCCTTTTATTTTTCAAGAGACAAAAGAAAGAAACAAAGAAAGGGAAAAAAGAAAGAAATAGTAAAGAAGGAGGGAAAGGCAGGAAAGAAGAAACAAGCTTCTTCCTCTCACTTATACAGTGTTGCCACGCCAGTCATCAGCCGTCCGCTCAGCAATCTGCTGCTGTCTTCGTCGTGCTTCGCCAGCCAGTTCTCTCATCAACGGCTCGATTATTCCAAGGCCGCTTGCGTCGTCGCTCTTGCTCATCGTGTCACTCCATTCACTGTCGTCAGACATCAGCTTCTCTCCAATCAGTCCTGCCGCAATCCGGCCGCGAGACAAGCTGGATCTCCTTGTCGTCGCCTTGTTGCGCTTGGTGCTGCGAGCTTTGCGCTCTGCGCTAATTTCATCGTCTGAAGCCCAGCCTCGACCCTCTGCATCTGTAAACTTGTTGGTGTTGAGTGACGGGGTGATGGTCTTGATGTTACGGCTCATGTCGTCCAACACGGGCACCAATGCCCGCAGCCAGACGTCGCCATTGCGCTCCAGGCGGCGTATGCGACGCTCCACGTCTCGGAGACGATTCTCGTGGTAAGATTCGTAGAGCCGTAGGATTTGCTTGTCCATCATGTTGCGCTTTTGCTCCAGATACAGTTCGCTGTCAATGTCACGAGAAAGCCGCATCTGGCTTGTTGTAGAGTGGCTTGGTGACGAGACACGTGGTGAAGAGACGCGTGGTGTAGATACAGGAGTCTCCTGGGGCAATCCCGGCGAGGGCTGGAGATCAGCGACGACGACAATGGGGCAGAGTGTGTAGATGGGAGATGCCTTTGGAGGGCCTTTGCCTTTGCCTTGCTCGTCTGCATTGGCGCCTTCTACCTCTTCACCCTTCTGCGCATCTTCCGATTGTCGTCGTTGTTGCAGCTCCTTTAACATTTTTGCGTTTCGGACGGCTTCCATATCTCTCCTCTTCTTGTCTCGAACCTTATCGCGACGGCTCTGTATTGAGCCCGCTGTGGAGGGACGAGAAGGCGTCTCCTTGCTGACTGACAACATTGATTGAGTAGATACAGCCTTTCGAACGGCACGCTTGCTGCCTACTGAAGAGCCATCTGTTTCCTCGGTGATGGGAGAAGGAAATCCGATGCCCGGCTTGTACTGCTGCTTGTTTCTGGCTTCGCTCTTTGGAGGAGGGGATGGCAGTGGCTTTTTGTTATATCCGTCCCGAACGTTCTCCTCGTCTTTGATTAAACTCAACAGGCCGTCAATTGAAGCCGAATGTGCTGGATGGTGATGTTTTTGACTGGCAGCAACCACCATGCTCGTTGCTTTTGCTGATCGCTGCTGATTGTTCGGCCTTCTTGGGGGAGTTGGGTGAAGCCCCTGCGGCAGAGCAGTAGGCTTTGGGAATATGCTAAAGTAGTGAGGTTGCTTGCTCTTGGTGCTGGCTACTGTAGATGCTTCTGTAGAGTAGCCCCCCGTGGACTGGCTATTGGACCGTCGATGGCTGCTTTGGGTGTGGTTGCTCCTTTCACCCAGGCTCGATGCCGATATAATAGACTGCTGGGACAGAATGCTGGAGCGGTGTGAAGGTGAGGGAAGAGCTTTGGCCAATCCCTCGGGCGTCTCTGTTGTGATTGGGTGGTAAACGGTGATGGAGCCATTCTCCTCAGAGTATGTCTGGACCGCAAAATTCCGTGGGAGAGTACCGTACGTGGGCTTTGCCCCTCCCGACTTGACACCAGTATTATTCTTCACGTTCGTATCGTCTTGTGACTTTGAGTCGGCTGCAAACGGCATGGCATCGAGAGGGATCGAGATGGCAATGTGTCGGTGTCCACCGCTCGTAACGCCCGACACGGCTGAGTCTGGAAGTTGAATGTTGACCGGTGGCCTGGGAACGGATTTGCTTCTTCTCTTGATGCTCATGAATTTATGCCATTTTGATTCTCGCTCTTTGTCTTCTCCGTAAACATAGGGAACCGACATGAAGTTGTCCGACGGTGGCTGATTGGACTTGAAAAATTCAGCCAAGCTCATGGTGTTATCATGCTTGTCGAGATCATCGTCGTCCAGATCGTCATCATCTTCAATGTAAGTGCTCTTCATGAGCTTTGGTGTCATGATTGGTGGTTCGATCATGGAAGCTCTCTTGTCGTCTTTTTTGCGATCCAAGAGATTAAGACCGGTGCTATACCGACGACGAAAGACGACAGGATTAGAAGCAAGCGGTGACGGAGGTGGTTTTTGGTCCCCCACCCACGGTGCTAAAAACGTTGCCTCGACACTCGCCATTTCTGTCGCTTGTCGAATAGGCTGGGCTAGTGGACGAATTATCGTATCAACAGAACAGCCAACAATCGGGGCTGTACTCTGTACACACTCAGAACACCGATGAAGGTGGCAACGCCCTTGCGTGCTCGAATCACACCACTAGTTCTCAGAGCCTCCCTGACTAGGAACGTTTGATGGGATGCCTTGACAGTCCGTCTGGTGGCTATGAAAACACTACCAGACTAAGCGTGCATATTAGAGCGCATACGATAGTCAGAAGCTCTAGGGCCGAGCTGTGAGCTGCGTGGGCTCTCTCGCCCTCGATAGGGCAGATGTATGTCTCAGTCGACGACTAGGAGAAGCGAGAAGGCGCCTGATGGTGCCTTTGGATGGTGGGAGGCGAGGTAGGCACGGGCCAAAATAGGCAAAGATACCAAGATATAAAAAGCAAAGGGAATAAAAGAAACAGAAAATAGCGAATAGCAAGTCCGGTAATGTCTAGCACCAAGCGGGTCCAGACGTCTCTCTGAATGAATAGAGTATAGTGGTTTGAAAAAAGGCCGGTTTACGTATAAGACGAAGGGAGGGTGGATGACGACGATGGAGAAAAAGCAAAGCTCGGGTGGCAGGTATGAGCTGAAGACGAGAAAAAGAAAAGAAAAGAAGTGCAGGAGAAAAGGAAGTAGTAGAAGGGAGCGAGACGGCGTTGGCCCGCAGCTCACCAAAGCGGAGGAGGTGAAGATGATGAAGAACCGGAGCCCTGAAGATCATTTTTCACAGCCATTCTCAGAGCCAATGTCTTTGACGACATGGGTCTCTCCTTAAACATCGGGTCACCTTTTGATGAGGAGGCCCTCAACCATCCTGGCACCCTGGCACCCTGCCAATTGCCTAGCAGCATCCCCGGTCCCCCGGCTCTTGAAAAGGCACAGAAGCGAGCCATCAAGGGCGAGCACCTCCAATGGCACAGCGGGTATCTCCAGAGCCAATTTAGCTCGCAGGGTGGCCCCGTTCTGGTGGCGTCCTCCGCCATGAGAGCCCATTGGCCGTGTCGGTGTATGAGCTCTAGCTGTGGCCAGCCAGTAGAACTAGCGACGCGATGGCTTGGACGGCTTGGAAAGTGGCTGTATTCCAGCAGGATTACGTTGTAGCCGGCAATGGATGAGTTGGAAACGAGGTCCCGGGCTCCAGCTGAGCCATCACATCTCGCGCTTTCTTTCCCTCCCCGCACAACTGCCCTGGCTCGCGCATTGATTGTTTGAATCTTCAGCATGAATATCATCCCCAAAAGGGCCACGTCCCGACTATCTAGAAGCAGTTGCCAACCCTGCCTTCACACGTGTGCGGTTGCAATGCCCGTCATCTGCCGGTTCTCGACTGAGAGCCAGAAGACGAGCCGAGATGAACCAAGCAGCGATGATGACAATGACGGGTGGGCCGCAGGGATCTGGGGCTCCAGTCCGCTGATTGCCGTGGAGTCGCCTCTATCCTCTGCCAGTCTTTTTCGACATGGGTTCGTAATTATAGACCACTGTCTTGGTGCTTCCCGTATGCACAAGTAGGGAGCGGCGACGGTGCCCTTGAAGGCTCTCCGAAGGGATGCATCTTTTCGCTCGGCATACAAGTACACACTGCAGGACCACCAAAGCTGAGCTGAGCCGGCTGGACGCATTAGATGCCAGATTAGCATCCAACACTATTGCTCGTGTCAGCTCTAGCGAGCCGCGGTTGCATCATCCTTTTGACGAGAAGAGCCCAAGCCAGGCTCGCCCGCTAACAATACGGTAACCAGTAATAATCGTATACCGGCACTCATACGGTAGCGACCTGGATTTCTGGATGCAAGGGGTCGCGGAGCTGCAGGCGAAATTATCCACCCTGGGTACGAAGTGGCTCCTCCATGTCTGTTTTGGGAGTCTATGAAATGTCCGCTCGCCATGCCCTTCCCTGCTCCCTGCCTGCAATTCATTTTGGTTGATTTTTCTGGTAGCGAGAGGACGAGAGGCTTGCATCCCGGATTGCCGATAGACCGTTGCGCTGACAAACAGCAACGAGACTGGTACAAGGAAAGTGGCTGCGAGAGGTCGAGCAGATGCTGTAGATGCCTGGCCAAGGTTGAGAGGGCAGGAGAAAGGGGAGAATTTGGAAGTCGCTGTTAGTGATCGTAGGTATCGTAGCAGCTAGACTTCAGCGTAAAGTACCTACATGAGCACTGTAACTACCCAATCGATAGCCCGCAGTTGACACTTGACAGACAGCAGGTGGTTGCTCCTTCCACCACTGCCAAACTTCAGTCTTTTGAGCAAACCTGCTCATCTGGCGGCCCTCCTCTTTTCTTTTCTTCTTCTTCTTCTCTCTTCCACTTCACAGTTCAAACAATCTTGCTCCAGGCTGCCAGAACCCAAAACCAAAACACACCACAAAGCACATCGTCCTAGACGAGCACCAAAGAGTCATGTCAGTCTTCGTGATCTGCACATCCTTATTACGCGGTTCCACTAAAACAGAGACAGCTTCCCACTAGCAACGCTAGATTCGAATTTCGCAATGCCTCCTGTTAATGATCCCAAGTCTCACGGCCAAAACGGCCAATTCTGCGAGCCTGACGTAGCCGGTAAGTATCAGATACCACTGCCGGAGTTTGTTTGCTCCCTCACGTCAAAAATCACACCTGCTCACGTTTTGATTTTAGAAGAACTGCGTCAGCTCCGCTGGGACATCCTGGCCCTCGCCGATGGCTTCGGCTTGACTGACCGTCCCGCCAAGTTTATTCCGCCTGCCCCCGACAACAAAGGCGTCCAGTGGGTCTTTCCCTCCGGTCCTAGTCGCCGCCAGAAGGAGCTTGCCGAGTTTCTCACGAAGAAGTTCTAGCTTGCAGGCTAATTGCCCAGCTGGCTCCTGACTTGTCCTGACTTGGGGAGGGAAAAACGAGTCTTGCTAGCGAGCGTCAATCTGTGCTGAATACGGAGGACAATGGTATCTGCATTGTAATGAGCTATGAGATATGAATTATGGAATGTGATGAAATCATGGTTTGATATGAGCTAGCTCGTCTAGTCACTTTAATCTGAACCAATTGACGTTTCTATCAACTTTGCACAAAGACCAAGTGATTCCTTTCCCCTAAATGTGCCTTTTCCGCATCCCTCCGATGAATGTGATGGTAGTCTTCCAATAAATTGGCGTGATCAAATAGTCCTCCTCCTACCAACCAGTACTAATGTCCCGCCCGTTGCCAAGATCAGAGTTTCAGGGTATCTTCTACGTGATGGACGGACAGCCTTTGGGATAATTAATCCCCATATGTATTTGGAGTATTAATCATCTAGGACGTTAACACCACCTCTAGCGGACAGCCTTTGGGAAAATTAATCCCCATGTGTATTTGGAGTATTAATCATCCAGAACGTTAACGCCGCCTCTATGATATCTAAAATTGAAGCAATCGCCATCATTGTAATTCCCAAAAGCTCAACGCCATAATCGCCGAAGCCTTATCCAAGATTGCCCATTTCCAAATAGGTGCACACCATAGATAATGAATATCCGCAGCCCTAAAGGTCTGCATCCCGTAGCCATATGCTCTTAAAACTCCTCAGCTGCAAATCAGATGCCATCATACCGTTGCCTTCACCTAATCCTGTCTAATAAAGCGCCAAAAAAGACATGTCTTGCCCATCAAATGTGTAATCGTTTTCGAAAATAATGACAATCGTAAGCTTGCCTTCTTTCGTCTTCGGTTGTTTTTCCCCTTAGCCCCCCTTCTATATAACCACCATGTTAGACCTCTCTCTTTGCCACATTTCTCGTTATTCATCGTAGATCTTTCCTCTCGTAGGTGAAGTATCTAATTAGTGGTCAAGTGCCTTCTGAAGTAGCTAGTGAGGCAGTCATCAATATTTATAGGCTTTAGTGAATAGTCGAGACTGCGATGAGAAGCTGCTCTGGCTTCCAAGTACTGCCTCGCCAGATAATTCGACATGCTAAAGGGTATATTTGTCATAGCTCCCACAATCTCCGTCCGTTCCACCTTATAGCAATTCCACTCTATTCTTCTGTTAGCTTATGTTGGTATCTTGATACTTGAACACTCCATTCTTACATTTAATATATCAGCCAAAATCAGCTTTTCGTGCCTTATTGCTTGCCTTTCGACGATTATGTGTCTCCCAAGGTTCCCCCAGGGTAAGAACAAAAAGATATTAAAAGCAAATAAAATAAAAATAAGCAGCAAAAATGTCGATAGAGCAGCTTCAAGCATCGCTGCTGAAGATATAGCTCTCGATAAAAAGCGAGACAGCTACCCCTTGAGATATCAGCCAGATGCCCTGCTGTTGGTCTGAATACCAGCGGTGGATCTATCATCCATCTAGCAAAGATTATTCTGCGTCAAACAATGCCACTTCTATGAGCTCGTTCGAGATGCTAAATAAAGAGTAAGAAAGAAAGGAAAATAGAGGGTCAAGCAAAAGAGCAGGCGAAAAGAAGGCAGCAATTTGAAATAGGTTGCGAGCCCGTCAGCGCCGTTTTGGAAGGAATGGATTCGGCTTCTTCTTCTTTCGCGGAACTTGGGGTGCCTGTGGATTGGCCTGCATCATAATCAGTAAAAAATACAAGCCGGCAATACCTCTTTTCCGCTTCAGCTAATACATACCTGGTTGCCACTTGCAGCAGCAGGACCAGTCGGTGGAGTCGGCCTCGATACCGGCGGAGGTGCAGAATTGAGAACCGGCGGAGGTCGTTCGGGGGGCACCAGTCCTAGCAGGGACATGGCAGAAGGGTCGGTTGGAGGTTTGATCGGTCTGGGCCTCTGGCCAAACTTGCCCGTAAGACCGCCGGGTCGCGAAGTATCGCTCGCAATCTATTCATGGTGTCAACTCGATCTGCTCTTTGGCTAGTCAGTGTGTGCAGTAATTTCTTCTTACCTTCTTTGTCACGGGCTGATTCGGCTCGGGGGAGTCTAGAGGCCGCTTCTTTCCATCAGCAGGAGCTGAAATCCCTGAAGTGTGAATGATTGGTGGTCCACTCGAGCGAGGGACGACAGCATTCAAGCCAGTTGCTGTTGTCACACCTGGAATTCCATTGTTGCTGGCGATGGGGGGCGCATCTCTCATCTCGATATCCATCTGCTGAGGTGGAGGTCGGGGAGAATTAGCGACGCTTGGAGCAGCAGAGCTTCGGCCAGACGACGACACGTATGCGTTCGGCTTCGCCCTTTCTAGTGGGCGGCGGAACATGGAGAGAATATCACCCTTTGTATATCGGTCTCTCTCTTGCGCATCTACAATCAATTTGCGCCAGAATTCTCCCTGAACTAGAGCTCGCGAATCACCCAAGATCCACAGCGACGATTTGGCTCGCGTCAAACCGACGTTCATACGGCGAATGTCCGTCATGAAACCAATACCGCCCGTGGAACTAGCTCGGACACAAGAGAAAATAATAATCTCGCACTCTCGTCCTTGGAAGGCGTCTGTGGTGTTGAACTCGATAATGTCCGTGATGTTTTCGCCGTATCGAGCCTGGAACCGAGATCGTAGCTCGTAGAGCTGTGCTTTATAAGGCGTTATTATACCAATTTTTCTAGTGAGGTCGATGTCGCGATATTCTCTGCTGAACCGTTCGTATAGTTGTAGAGCCACCTCGAGCTCTCTTGTGTTGACCAGAGATTGGCCCTTTCTACCTCGTTCTTGCACACCCTCAACGTCAAAGAATCTGTAGGGCGCAAAGAGAGTATCTTTGTGCCATGGGGCTTGGCGAAGCTGTAGCATATCCTGGCCGTCATGGAGCTGGGACTCGTAGAATTCTCTGCTGGGGAAGTGGCTAATCTCGGGGTGCATTCGGTATTGCATGTCGAGCAAGTGAACAGACTTTGGATGATTCTGCTGCATCCGCACAAACAAACTCTGATCGTAGCCAAATCGAGCCGCAGACTGCGACAAGACCGTAGGCGGCAATTGCTTGGGATCACCAACTAGGATACACTTGCAGCATCCGTACTTGAGCGGAATCAAGGCGCTCAGCTCCACGCACTGCGCTGCCTCGTCAATGATGACGGTCTCGAACTCGACATCCAGATTGCGGAACATCTCGTGTCCACTTCCGCTGAGAGTAGCGCAGAGAACATGAGCAGAGTTGAGAATCTCTTGCTGTATCTGTCGGCGACGCAGCTCCATCTCACGAGCTATCGAGTTGCCACTGTCCTTGTTGGCATCGATCTGCTTTCCGATTTGCATCTGCTTTCGTTTCAAATCGTCAAACTGTCTGGACAGAGAATTGTGCAATGCTCGGTCGTCGTTGTTCCGCGACTCCTCCAGTCGTGGCCTGAGCTGTGCGAGCTGCTCCTTCACCTCAGCAGCCTCTTCGTGAAGCTTGTCTCTGTCTGCTTTTGCTTTATCCTTGGTCGTATCGCCTTCAAGACGCTTCTTGACTAGCTCATCAAGGGTGACATCTTTGACTGCGGCATTGATGGCCTCGCTTCTTCCCAAACGAAGAACGTTGATATTTCGGGCTTTGCCACTCGTGGTCTTGATCCCGCTCTTCAATCGAAGCACCAACTCATCTACAGCGGCGTTACTCGGGGCGCAAACGAGTAGTTTCTTTGGTCGTGCTTGATTGCCCCCGGGAGCACCATTGGGCCTCATTGGAACGCCAAGAGGGACTCCGGTCGCTGCAGCAGGAATTTGTGCGAGCTGCTCGGATAACAACGCACCAACCATGGCGACGATGGTCTTGGTCTTTCCTGTACCGGGGGGACTAAACATAAGGAAAAGAAGGCAGTTAGCGCATACATGCTAGAAATGAAAAAGGCAAAGCGAGTAGCGAAAGAAAGTCATTGTATCCTTACCCTTGGATCAAGGTGAAACCATCATTTTCTTGTGCACCGAGTACGGCGAGGGCTTGTCCCTGATTCAAAGCCCAGTTGCCCATGTAGTTGGATACACGCTCTTCTCCGTAGCGTAGAATGGGCGATGGTTCTGCCTTCAAGATCTCATCCATAAGATCGTAATACTGCAGACTCTCCAGGGCAGCATACTCTCTTTCGATGGTCGCCATGTTGGTGATTTTTACGCCATGCACAGTAGCACCAGGAGTCAGACTGGGGGAGAGAGGGTTACTACGTGACGCTACGCGATATGTCACCTCAACCGTGTCCTTTTTGTAAGTCATTCGATGGACACGGGCCAGACAGTGCTTGGCCGACTCAAATACAAGAGGATTCTCCGCCTCTGAGACAAGCAGTATATCGCCTTCGAAAACACCACGTTCCCGAGATTGCAGGATGGGCATTGTAAAGGTCACTTCAAGATAGCTGTCCACGCTTGCGCGGCTAGCAATTTTCATGCCAAACGGTTGCGCGGTCACCTCGTCCTTTGAGGTAACAAACGAACGCCAGGCTTCGGATGCCAGCAAGGGGAAGAAGGTCTCCTGGTACGATTGTGGGTTAGAGTACTTGGTTGCGACCTCCGAGGCTTTTGGTCCATTCGGAGGGTCGTTACCAGCGTGGAATATATCCCACGCGAGAACAGTATTATGGAGCCGATCCATGGCGGGGATCAGCCGAGCTCTCATCTCTTTGACGGAGCGCTGTTGCCTGACCTTCTTCACTGGCTGGCGTAGCTTGTCTCGCAGAGCCTGTTGGCGACGCTTTTCAGCATCAGTCAGGGATTTTTGGCCTCCGGTGCTCAAAGCAGCCAGCTGATTGTCAGCGTCCGAATCGTCACTACCAGCATCGGACTCTTCATCAGAGCTGTTGACCATGATTTCGCTGCGTGAGTGATCTTTGCCGGTGATCCCCAGGCCCTGCAGGCCGGAACCTTCGCCTTTGACAAACTCCCCACGAAGAGCCCGGGCTCGTGCAATGGCCTCCG